CCAAAACGCAATGGAATATTATTCAGCAATAAAATTTAAATGAGATATAACTCACAAAAGGATTCATACATTATAACTATCTGGCATTTTTGAAAAGCTAATGCTAGAGAGAGTTTAAAGATTAATAGTTGTAAGGAATTCAAGGAGCAAGAAGGAGGGATGAGTGGAACACAGAGGTGGAACACAGAGGACTTATTAGAACATTGAAACCATTCTGTATGATATGGAGGTGAATTATGCATGCCCAAACCTGTAGAATATAGAAGAGTGAAACCTAAAGTAATCTATAGATCTGAGTAATACTGTTCATTATTGGCTTAACAGTTATGGCAGATTTATGAAACAGGTGTAAAGGATAATTTGTGAAAGGTTTAAGAGAGCACACAGGAGCTGTGAAATTTCTGTTCATTTTTCATGCATAACTAAAACTTGTGTGAAAAAGAATGTCTATGACTTTGCTTAAAAATAAAAATTTAAAGCCTCCAGGTTACTGGTAAGTTCTTTAGCTGAAAGGGTGGCCAGAAAGAAGCTGTCTGAATCAATTGCCTTTAAATCTGACCCTGTAGGACATGACTCTTCCTTGTGAAGTGCAGGTGGCCATTTCCAGTGGAGCAGACAACTGGGAACAGTGAGAGGGCTATAGAAAGATGCTCAAGGAAGACCCTGAGGAACACAGGTGGAAGGGATGGGGTAAGAGGGTGAGGATGTGCAAAAGGAAAGCGTCCAATGGCTAGATCCAGGAGGCTTTTTCGCTGTTTTGAAATCATTTCAGTGACGTTCAACTTAATTTTAAAGGCATGGTTTAATTAGTATGGTCGAGGATATGATCTGAGTTTGTAAAATATCCCTTACTTTTTGATGTAAGAGAATTAATTGTATATGGATGCATTTAGACATAGGCACACTAGTAAGTGAGGAAAAGTCATACTGGCTCAAGAAAGAAGTAACAGTGGTTTAGACTCAGTTGGGGTTGGAGGATATAGAGATATGGAGCATTTGTGAGATACATTGTTGAAGATAATAAGGGAGAGGACGGCTTGCCTCATTAGTCATCTAAATATGTGGGGTTATCAAATTGCTTGCAGCCTGAAGTCCATGGATTTATCCTACTCACATCCCTTTTTCGATGGAATGACAATTTTTAGATGAATCGTTGCTTAAAATAAATGGGCCTTGTAAATCTGTGCTTGATATTTGCTTTTCATAGTGTTTGTTGTAATGGGATTTGGCTCATGACTAAAACTGACTTTGTATAGGCATTAAAATGCTTTGCTCTAATTTTATTTTCCCCATAAATTTTAATTATCAGACTATCTTCGTTTAGAAAAAGATAAATTAATGCAACGGAGAAGCCTTGTGTTTGTAACAAATGAATATGTACATTTATTTGTTGTTTCCATTTAGTAGAGCATGTCTGAAATACAGGTTGACACTGGTATAGTTGTTAAATAGTGTACTATACTGAGAGGTAAAGAAAGGAAGTGGTTTTGTTTGTTTTGTTTTAAAATTATGCTTAGAATTGTCTAAATAACAAGTGTGCCACATTTTGTTTCAATAATTTAAGATATGTAGAAAAACACTTGAAAGCAAAGGAAAAAATGTCATTACTGACTTAAAACAATATGAGAACTGGCTACAAAGTCCTTCTCTGTGGCCTAGCAGGATGGCTCCTCCCTTGGTGGGTGGGGAGGTCAAAGAGTTTGCCATTGAGTTCCTGTCAGAAATAGTCCCTGTTCCCTTTACTATGGGAAACCAGGTGGTTACTGAGCTACCACAGGCTTCATCCTCGCAGAGGTTCTAGCTAGTTCTGAAGATACCTGATAAAATAGGATCAGATGAAAGGGGAGGAGGTCCTTCCTCCTTAATCAGTGGACTTGGAAAGGGGCAGGGAGGAGATGAGGGAGGGAGGGAGGGAGGGTTTGGGAAGGAATGAGGGAGCAGATACAGCTGGGATACAGAGTTAATAAAATGTAACTAATAATAAAAAATTAAAAAAAAAACAATATGAGGAATTGTTACTGGTTATTTTCAAAGAAGATATCCCCCAAATTAACAAGTTGTGAGAAATTTTGCCAAATAATTATAATCTTTGAAAAGCAAACACTTCGTTTTCTCTTGGGGACAATCAAATGTTCAGAAGGACATCAGGATAAGAATGTCAGAAAAAAGTCACAGGTACTTTAAGTAAAACGTAATATGATTGGATGGAGTATTTGATTTTATCCTTTATAGCTCACTAGTACTTTTAGAAAACATTTCATTCTTAAAACAGTTACAGATTATTAGGAAGATATTTGTTTAACAAACAAGACACTGTATCCTTGGAATATATTCACAGAAGGTGACATTGTTTATCTTTGTAATTCATTCTATATGCATCTTGGTCCTCAAGCTGTTGGCTATTTCTATTTATCGAGAGCAAACTAAGCCATACTATCTCCCTTTAAAATCCCAGTTGGAGAGTAAAGCGTTTTTCCTCATCTTTGTAGTTTCAGTATTTACAAACACAGTTTTCTATGAAAAGTATGGGACCATAAAACACTTTATACTTTTAAGTTGAACAAATAGAATGGCGTAATGATGCTGTTGGTGTTATGGAGGAAATATTGGAAAGGGAAGGGGAAAGTGGACGAATATGCTGAGTTCATTTTGATGGTCAAACTTTTTACCGAGATAGTGAAAACTAACTACATCCCTCCAAGAAAGTTTACATTGGACTATCTAAGTTTTTTAATTTTTTTATTTTTTATATTAATTATAGTTTATTCAGTTTGTATCCCAGCTGTAGCCCTCTCACTCATTCCCTCCCAATCCTGCCCTCCCTCTGTCATTTCCTCCCATGCCCCTCTCCTATCTAAGTTTTAAGTAATTTTTTATTTCAAGTTTTTCTGAGAAAATAGAATTTCCCCACCCCTTAAAAAGACTTTTAGTGTATACTCAAAAACTTCCAAAATACTTAACTAAAATTTATCTAAATGTTTTAAGATGAGACTTACATCTTAGTTTTTAAAATATTAATATTCATGGTAGTAAGTCATGTAATAATGTAAACAAAGTTGGACAATGATCATGGAGTCACAAAAGTTAAAATAGAACCCTCCCTAACTTTATGAGCTGTCTTAATTGTGATAATTAAAATACCATTTTATATTTTTATATATTTCTGTCATGTGTCAGAGGTCATAAATGTCAGCTTAGGGTGTTTAATCACTGTGACAGGAGAGAGATCTCTGGGAGAAAGCCTAGATAGATCCAGGAGCTAAAACAGCAGCGGTGTTTCAAGGAATCCAGAGCTGAGTGAGCACACTGAAAGAGACCTAGTCATACCTTCCTGCACTGATCTCAGAGTGGGTCAGAGAGGGATTGCACAGCCCCTTTGAGCTAACCTCAGGCACAGGAGGAGGGCATTAGCCCTTCCCAGGACAGGGGATGCCTCTTTTTTTTCTTTCCTCTTTCTTTCTTTCTTTCTTTCTTTCTTTCTTTCTTTCTTTCTTTCTTTCTTTCTTTCTTTCTTTCTTTCTTTCTTTCTTTCCTTCCTCCTTCCTTCCTTCCTTCCTTCCTTCCTTCCTTCCTTCCTTCCTTCCTTCCTTCCTTCCTTCCTTTCTTTCTTTCTCAGTGCATATTTTTGCACAGAAGTTTATTTTCAGTCCAGTTTGTTCCCTGGTGGCTTAATTTACACGTAACCAGAAGATCTCCAAGAGAAAGGTTATTAGGGATTGGAAAAACAAAGACTTCCTCTATCAGTGGACTTGGAAAGGGGCAGGGAGGAGATGAGGAAGGGAAGGTGGGTTTGGGAGGGAATGAGGGAGTGGGATACAACGTTAATAAACTGTAACTAATATTTAAAAAATTAAAAATTAAAAACAAAAACACAAAGACTTCTACAGACCATAACATCTGCGTCTTACCGACAGAGAAAGGTTCTTGAGTGAACCTTCATGGCTAGGTGTGTGCATGCCTGCGCACTGGTGTCTATACCTTCCGTAAGCCTGCCACCTGAAAGTTCCCTTCTCTGCCCCAGGAAGCCACCATAGGGTATCTAATGGGCTCTGTTTGAGCTGAACCTCTTACCCCTACAGGCGGCTGTTGCTTCTGCCATGGATGCCTTGATTCAGGGAGCCCTAGAGGTGAGCAGGCAGCAAATGACTAAAGGAAACACTCTCTTCCTGCTCACTCTTGGGTGCTTCCCAGTCATCCCGGGTGCCCGCGCCCTAAACCCCTTAGAAAGTTGACTCAGAGGCCGGGCAGAAGGACCGAGACATTGGTGCTGTTGGGTTCCGGAAGGCGGAGCAGAGAGACCGGTGTGGCAGCTGCCATCTCTCCTTGCCCACCCATGCACCCAGACCCTACAAGAACCCTACAGAGCCCACAGCTTCTAGCTGGGCGCTCACTGTCCCCCGCGCGTAGTCAACACGTCTTCAGGCTCTAGCGCTCGCCCTCTCCCGGACACTGCAGAGGGGGCAGCTCTGGAGCGCTCCGAGGAACGCCTCGCTCCCCGCACAGCCTGCGTCCTCTGCATCCCGGGTTCTGCAGCCTGCAGCTCAGCCCGGGGACTTAAGATGCCGACTTGCACCTGAGTGTCCCCACCCCACTCCGCCTGCACGGGGAGCGACGGCGGCGCAGGGCGGGGAGGAGGGGGGGAAAGGGGGCGGAGGACTCGGATTCCCTGGTGGACCCAGGAAGTTGTCCTTTAAAAAAGCACATCTTCCACCCGCCTTTGAGCGCCTCCTCGCCAGAGCAGCATGTGGACTGGTTCGCCGGGTCCCCTAAGTGTTCCGGGCTGCCGCCGTCGCCGCCTCAGTCCGAGCAGCCGCTGTGGGCAGCGGGAGCCACGCAGAGGTCGGGGAGCCAGCCGGGGAGCGCGGGCTCTCAGTCCCCAGCTTGCCGCTGGCCTCTTCCCAGAGGCGGAGGGCGCCCTTGCTGCTAGAAGCCAGCCCGCATTCCCCTGCCTGTTGGTCGCCCAGTGAGGAGTTGAGTCTGCACCTCCAGCCCGGACCCATATGGCTTGTTACCTGGTCATCAGTTCCAGACACCTGAGCAATGGGCACTACCGGGGCATTAAGGGAGTCTTCAGAGGGCCCCTCCGCAAGAACGGATCTCCGTCTCCGGTAATGTGCACATAGGCGCGCACACTCATCCACACACACAGTCGAAGCCAAACGACCACAGAAAGAGACATTGAGTTGTCCTGCCTGATAGAGCTGGTTAGGCTCCTAGGGAGTAAGCCGCTGTGGTTAGTTTTGTCAGCAGACACGCTTTGCAGACGGTTATACAGAGGGGTGTGTGTTTCCGTGTTTCTTGCCATTCCAGTTATTTCCATCTGTAGTGTTATGCATGCAAATATTTACTGAGCACAGGTAACTGCAGGGAGGAAGGGTGATGCTCCTGGAGGGTCCACTTAGGAATCTGCCGATTTGGGTAGCGTAGAAAGTTTGAGTGACGCTTTATAATGTGCTTCTGTGAAGTCATACTTTCAGGTTAGTTTAATGATTTTACAGCTGCTTTGTGAGAAAATAAGCTCAAGGGGTTTGTCTTGGCAAAATGAAAAGGTGTTGTTTTTCAAAGCGTTCTGAAGTCCAAGACTCAATTAGATTCTTTAGAGGGAAGCAAATGAAGTTTCCTTTGTGGAAATCCAAATTGGCTTGTTTGTTATGTTACATAAAAATGCCTTAACCTTCAATTTGAGTGTTTTTATTTAACTTAGTAGACTGTTCAATTCCTATTGTTGAGAATCAAAGGCTTTACTATATTTATAAATTGATTAATGGGTACTATAACTAACTAATGTTTAAGGGTTCAAATGAGTTTAAAGGAAATGTATATATGTATGTGTGTATGCATGCATACATACATAATTTGAGCATATATACATATATAATCAGTTTAGAGCACAGTAAGTGACCAAGTATCCAAACTTAATAAAAAACTTTTCTATTCTGTTGTTGAGAATATTTTTTAGTCTGCATAACATAGAGAGGAAGGACTTAATTTGCCTGAGTATTTTGTACTTCATACTTTCTACTACAGCTTAATGCTCCATTAGTGTGAATTATTTACAACTGTTATATATTATAAATACCTTTGGTGAAACAGCATCTATGATTTGCATAAGGAATCTGGAATCTGGAGGTATATGTACTCAGATACATCACCAAGTTTCCCAATGACAAACTCTTCCTTCATATTTTCGAGTACTTTAAAAATCCGTGTTGTAACACCCTCAGCTAAATGGAGGGAACCAGAAATTCTACATGAAAAGCACTGTTTGCATTAACAGTTACAATTAAACTCTCAGGGCTAGAAAGGGACTTGGCAGTTCCAGCTGACTGAAAAATACAGCCCCAGTCAGCCTGAGCAGTGGGTCTGAATCTTGCCTGCTTTAAAGATTTTAAGGATTGGCATTTCTGCAGCCTCAGCAAACCATTACAGTGTCCAACAGCTCCCCATGTCAGGAGCATTTTCCTCAGGGCAAACAAATCCTCCCAGTTCCTCCTTAAGCACATGCTGTCTTGTAAACCTAGAATGTTCCAGTTTTCTTAGTGTGTTGATAATCTCTGTGGCTGTCTCTATAGCCTTCCTGAGTTGGATTACTGTGCTCTGGTATATATATATCTTAATACCTGGGGCCAAAAGAGACATCTCATCATTCTTACACAGTTTAATTCTATTCAAAGAGACTGGAATAAGACATTCAATTAAAACCTCTGGTGTTTAAAGAAGAAGTTTCTGTCATTTGGTTAAGAATATCCTTGCGTCTCTTTCTCTGGTTGCTTGTGTCTCCAAAGCTTGGCTGACCTCACAGATTCTGAGTGTGTAAATGTAGATGGCGAACACCAGCCTTCCATCCATCTACATGGTTGTGCTGGTTGTCCAGGGTATAGGTGCACACCTATGGTATACTATTTTATAGTTCAGTTGGCTGATTCCATCAATGTGTTAGTTTATTTACTTTTTTTGTTTCAAGTCTCTTCAGTTTGACTCACTGAAGGACGCTCACCAAAATGATGTATGAGCTATTTAGAAATGCTGTTTTAATATGTACTCCACAAACAAATTTTCTTTTTTTCCCTCCTTTTTTTTTTTAATCAGTTTTATATTTTACCATGAAATTCGTGTCTTTTTCAATGTTTAAGTACTCTTTTATATGAACTGAACTGTGTGGGAAACTGATAATGTTTTGTTATTGAGATAATTCTTCATTTGGTTTAAATTCTCTTTCCATGGCATGATGTCTTTCTCTCTAAAGCAAAATAACAACTACGTCTTAGACCCCAGACTCTCTGTGTTTGAATAACTCACTGGTCTCCAGGAATGTCTGCATGCCTTTTGACCAACAGGTTGCAAAGCATCAAATTAAAAAATAATGTGGATATCTACATATTTTCATATTAAAACAATAGCTCTTAGTCCAGGTTGGGATTAGCTTATTAATATGCCTTCAATATAAATATTAAACTCATTGATCATATAATCATTAAACACTATAATTTATAGTTTTGAAATAGGTATCTACTATGATAATGTATTTTCAAATTAGTGTCTAGCAAAATCTAAAATTGGTTGTTACCTATTATTTTAACTTCTCAAGATTCCATTTACTTAGAACTATAGACTGGGAAGTCAGTTGACAACTAACATTCACTAAGTTTTCCAGTGCTTAATGTTTATTCTTATTCCTTTAACCCATGTCTTTCAATTTATTCTATGCATTTGCTGTTAATAGAGCTATTAAAGTTGGACATGGTCTTAATATTCAATAAAGTAAAAGTATTGAGTAAGTATACTTTGCATTCTATTGTAGAAAGGAATAAGGTGACAATTACTTGTGAGCTGAATGAATTTTATTTTTAATTTTTGCTATAATTCTATCTGTATAACATAGATCTGTGGTCTAAGATATAACATAATTAAATTAAGTCTACATATATTTTAAAAATTATACACATTTTTTTATGTTTAAGATACGTCTGTTTACTTCGTTAATCAAAGCCAAATTTATGCTCTGGACCTCAGTTCCTTCTTGGAACTATAAGAATGTTGAAAACCTGATAAACTCTAATATTTATCTTTAATATTCTATTACTAATCTTTCCAGGCACAAAATAACACACAAGGCTTTAATTAGCTTGCTAAATCAAAATACTTTCAGCTTTTAGAGTCAGCCCAGCATGGAGGCCTGTGACCCCAGCACTTAAGACCTGGAAGTGGGAAGATTATGAGTTTGGAGCCAGATTTGGGTACAGTGTGACCTTACTTAAAATAAAATTTGAAATATCTGAAAAAAAAAAGATACGTCTGTTTAATGGGAACATTAACAGAATTATTAACCTCAAAGTACAAAAGAGAATTAGGTTAAAAGACATTCATACACAGATAATTTCAAAAGATCTAATTTATAAAATACTAAATAATTATATGAAAATTTCAAGATAAATAGGAAATGAAATGATTGATGGATAAGTAAAGCAACGGAGTATTTTGTCTCATAAAAATACTCACAGAGTAGTAAATGGAAAATCCTAGAGTGAAATTTTACTTCTATCTTTAAAGTTAACACACAGAAGTATCTTATGATTACCTCTTTGTTCTGCATAAATTTTTTTTAAAAAATGTGTTTTCATTCTAATGAGCATGTCAATAATTGATTTGAGATGGCTTATGTTCCTCTAAATATAAGATAGATTTAAAAAATATTTTTTAATGTTTAACATAAAAGTTTATTTAAAACTAAATGCATTTTACTAAATTTTGGGACGTTTAGCCGCTATATTTTCTATACTTTAAAATAATACATTTTCTGATGCCTCTAAGAGTCAGTATTGGGTGTACATACAGATTTGTTGGTTAGGTAAATAGTTACTCATGGCTAACTGTGCTCAAGATATATTACCTGTATATTATAGTTCTTTTTAGCCACCAAATATCTAAATCTTTGTCCCAATGATTAACAGATTTATTACAAAAAACTTAAAGCTCTATCACCATATTTAAATTCAATAAAATAATGTTCTCACAGCAATATAAACATATTCTTCAATTGTTTCTTAGTTATTTTTATGTAATCTGGATATTATTTCTACTTTAGAATAATTTCAGTGTGTCTTCATATACATATATCCAGTAACTAATTATAGCTGTATATATAGCTATACACAAAGGTATAAAATATATCTATGGTATATATGTCATCATCACTCTCTTGAAAATTAGAGTGGGTTAGAAGTCTGTATTTCTCCCTGGGCACCATATAGTTAAAAATCAAGAAGAACTGAAAAGCGGTACTGTGTGTGTCCCTTTCAAGTGTCGATTGCATATATTATGGTCCCTGAATTATAGGTCTCGTAATTTTATTCTGAGTTGAATGTTTGTCTAAATCACCTAATATAAGTAGATTATATACATGCATATATATGTATCTTAAACACATCCAAATCCTACAACTTCCTTTTTGTATAATTAGCAATGTATATATTCATAAATGAGAGACATTGGTCTAGAAATAATGGAAACCCTGAAGTTTCCAAAATGGGAATTTCCTAAATAAGGAAATGATCAGTTACACCTTCCCTTTTTATTAATGCCTACCCTAGTCAGTCATGCGCATTTTGAAGATACTTTTAAGTACATATGAATCCTATTATAGAGCTCACAGTCTGATGCATTTTTCATGTGTCAACTATAATCATGAAGACATGCCTTCTAACAGAGAAGTCACCTGTCTCCTTTGCTTGAATTCATGACTATGTACCACTTTCAGATATTTTCAGTAAAGGCTGAGCCACAAGTTGAACTCATGTTTTCTTTTATGTCAAAACCGTATTAAGCAACCTTTTTTCTTGTCTTTTCTTCCTTGCCTTTTCTTTCTGAAATCACACAAAAATATCTGTGTTTAGAATTTATCTGACGGAGGGCCAACATTTTGACTTAAATGAACTTGTGCTTATTTAACTTCATAAAATTTCCATGAGAATGAAGTCAGTATTCAAGCACTTTAATTCGTGACTTTTGTTAAGTTACTTGGTATGTGTCTTCTATGTTATTTATTCATTTTAGCTATCAAATTGAGACAAACTTAAGTTTCTGCCTTATAGTTTGGAAATAAATATAA